AAACTTCGGTTCCTGGTGACTGCTTTGCGTAGACGATGAGAGAGAGTGACGACATATGACTAAACAGATATCGGATCCGAATCCGGCCCAAGAATTCTTCCAGTTATTTTTCGAAGCCCATTTTTTCAATCGTTTTAAAAACCATTAGCGTTTAAAACGCGAGTCTCCCGCGGCTGCGTTTCCAGCACTAAAAAAAGCGCAGTGGTGTCGCCGATGAAGAGGTCAATTCGTCATCGCCGTCGTTTCACCACCGGTGATGTTGATCGACAAATGTTCTCTTTCTCACGAAGGGGAAGGGGAGATTTCGCTGCCGTATATGGCCGATTTTACCGCCGGGTCTTCGTCCTTTCTAACCCGTGGGCAACAATAGTTTGTGAATGGCTGATGGCGAAGCTATCTTCTCTTTTTCTCCTCGGGAGGTTTCGATTATCAGCGGAGAAACTACAACTGCACAATGTCCCAAATCAAATTCTCTGAAGAATATGGATTGTGAGTTCTTAATTACTTATAAAACTTACAAGAATCACAAATTAGTGAGAGTAGTCAAACAAAGAAAAGAAATTCTTCTTGGACTTATTTTATTGCTTAGCCTACTTCTTGCTCTGCTCCATATGTGGAGAGTTCTTCTTCTTGGACTTACCTTAGTGATGTTGTCTGGGTAGAGCTGGCACTAGAAAACACATTTACTCATTTTCACTATTGAATTGACTCAACAAAACAAAGTCATTCTTGTTGGCCGGGTTTGCTTATTTGTATGCATGGTGACATGACATATTTCAGTTTATCTTCAACAGCATAACCAATGGTTTCTTGATTTCTCCTTGGGAGTATGGAGACTCTCTTGGGCTTTTGTTGGTGTTCATAGCTTTGGCCACCATTCATATTGTTCAAGCTCAAGACCAGCAAAAAGTAATATCAGATTTCTTATTTGTTCTATATACAACAATTATACATCCTTCCTACTTCTTTTACAAAAGTTTTTTTCATTTCCAAACCTTTTTGGATCCCAGAAGACACTAGTTTTAATGGTTTTAGTAGATAAATTCTGAATCATCTCCTCACTGTCAACAGAACTCGAACCAGGACCTAATCATGTTCGCTCAACTTGTCAAACTACTAACACCAGATCACATTATCGAACCTTATACAGTGGTTAATTCTATGTCGAATAACTCCTCCTCCTCCTGAGAAGGGAGCCTTCTATGTTAGTCCGCACTAACAGCCGTCTGGCCGAGGGCGGCTGAAGGAGATGGGAGTCAAGATTTCTCTCAGAATCACGGTCGAAAAGGTAAGCTCAACACGTTTTCCTAAAGAAATCCTATATTATATATGTGACTAATTCGGCTAAGCTTTCCACTAA